TGCTGGAGGCACTGTGCGGCCGCGACCGTACTTTGTTCCCCTGCTTCAGCAGGTTCTTGGTGTCCCGTCTTCTACTGGTCGTCCTCCTCCCTTCCTTTGTCCACCACCTGACCAGTCGCAGCCACCGTTACAGCCAGCCTCCCCACTCCCTGCCCCCTCTCCTTACACTGAGCAGTCTGGCGGTCTTACAGAGCGTCGTGAGCCTGCGTCTCGTCCTGTCTCGCCTGTTCGCACTGCTCGACGCGCTCCTCGTTCGCGTCCTCCTCCTGTCCCCGGCACGCACGCTATGGCAATCCGTCCTTCCTCTGTTCCACTGCGTGTTCCCGTGCCTGCTCCTCCTGAGTCCTCTCTTCCTGAGGTCCCCGACCCTGCGTCTGACAGCGCTCGTGCTGCCAATCCCACTGTCTCTCGTCTCCTTGCCACTGCTGTCACTGACCCTTCCTTTGAGTCTGCTACTGCGTCTGCTCTCGTTGCTGAGCTGCTTGACTTTGCTGCTGTCTGTCGTCTAGACTACGCCTCTGCTCTTGTTGCTGGGTCTGCGTCTGCCAGTCCTCCGTCCGTCGGGGGTGAGTGTGCTCTTGGCACGGACGTCCTTGAGGGCAGGCAGGAGGAATTTGAGTGTCTTGCAGCTACTGTACCTCGTTTCGCTTCCATGCTGCTTGCCCCTGAGGGAGACCCGGATGCTCCAGACATCCCGACCTCGCGCTCCTACGCAGAGGCGATTACGGGTCCTTACTCCTCTCAGTGGCAGGCAGCTATGGATGCTGAGATGGCATCCTGGAAGTCCACAGGCACCTACGTCGATGAAGTTCCCCCGTCTCGGGCGAACATAATCGATGGCATGTGGATTTTCAGGGTGAAGCGGCCGCCGGGTTCTCCGCCTGCCTTCAAGGCGCGTTACGTTGCTCGAGGCTTCAGTCAGCGACAGGGAGTTGACTACTTCCAGACCTTCTCCCCGACCCCGAAGATGACTACTCTTCGGGTGTTGCTGCACGTCGCTGCTCAGCGTGACTACGAGTTGCACTCTCTGGACTTCAGCACAGCTTTCCTGCAGTGCAGCCTGCACGAGGAGATCTGGCTGCGCCGCCCACCTGGCTTCACTGTGTCGTTTTCTGCAGGTACCCAGTGGAGCCTCCGCCGGCCAGTCTACGGTCTCCGCCAGGCGCCTCGCGAGTGGCACGACACACTGAGGACTACACTTGCGGCTCTTGGGTTTGCTCCTTCTACTGTTGACCCGTTGTTGTTTCTACGCACCGACACGTCGCTGTCGCCGTTCTACGTCCTCGTGTATGTCGACGACCTCGTCTTTGCCACTGCTGACACTGAGGCACTGACCCTTGTGAAGTCCGAGCTGCAGAAGAGACACACCTGCACTAACCTGGGTGAACTGCGCAGCTATCTTGGCCTGCAGATCACCCGGGACAGAGCACGGCGCACCATCACACTGACTCAGTCACACATGGTGCACCAGGTCCTTCAGCGCTTCGGCTTCCAGTTCTCCTCGCCACAGCCCACTCCTCTGTCTACCAGCCACTCGCTCTCAGCTCCACCTTCGGACGAGTCTGTAGAGCCGAGTGGTCTGTACCCAGAGCTTGTGGGTTGCCTCATGTACCTGATGACGTGCACACGACCTGACCTCGCGTACCCTCTCAGCCTTCTGGCTCGCTACGTGGCTTCCAGTAGGCACCGAAAGATGCATTGGGATGCTGCGAAGAGGGTACTGCGTTACCTGTGCAGTACGGCGGGCATGGGGCTCGTGCTTGGAGGACAGGGTCCAGTTGTTCTCACTGGTCACGCAGACGCCTCCTGGGTTGACGACTCAGCTACGCAGCGGTCGTCACAGGGTTACACCTTCAGCCTTGGCTCCGGCTCTGTTTCTTGGCGGTCTACCCGCTCGTCTTCGGTTCTCAGCTCCAGTTGTGAGGCTGAGATCTACGCCAGGGCTATGGCTGCTGAGGAGCTACGCTGGCTCACCTACCTGCTGACCGACTTGGGAGAGCAGCCTCGCTCGCCTCCAGTTCTGTACGTAGACAACAAGGCCATGATTGCCTTGTGTCAGGAGCACAGACTAGAGCACAGAACGAAGCACATCGCTCTGCGATACTTTTTTGCTCGAGAGTTGCAGCAGCGTGGCCAGCTTTGTCTTGCTTACGTGGCCAGTCGGGCCAACACTGCTGATGTCTTCACCAAGGCACTTCCGCCTGGTGATCATCAGCGCTTCTCTACTGTGTTAGGCCTTGTGCCTACTTTGTCTCACTTGCTTATTGCTTGACTCTGCTTGGACTATGATCTATATATGTACCTGCATGCTTGCACTTGCTAGGGTATGATCACTGTATTGTTTGTTCTCTTTATATAACTCTGCATGTGAACTGGCCTTGTGGCCCTTTGCTTGTGCTCGGACTGTGTGGTGACTTTGTGATCCACCCTGAGCTTGCTTTGTTTTTCTTGACTGGTCTTGTGATCACTTGTTCTCCCCCACTTTGCCTATGGGGGTATGTCAGAACATGATAGCTTATACATTTGTGTAGGCTGTAGTGGGGTAGCCCATAAGGGGTACAACCCAATTAGGGTTAGTACTTGTACCCAACTGTTTCATAGTTAATTCATTCTCGTTCACAACATTCTAACAGCATCCGCCCGAGAAAAATTACCCAATACACGATCGCGAAATGCTTGCGATCGTGCATGCGTTCAAAGTGTGGCGCTGTTACTTGACCGGCGCTGACGTGACAGTATGGACAGACCATAAATCACTACAGCACCTCCGCGCACAGCCCCACCTCAACCCACGACAAATTCGCTGGCTCGACTTCCTCGAGTCCAATTTTCACTACACGGTCACCTACAAGAAAGGGGCATCGAACATCGCCGACGCATTAACCCGACCCACAGCCCACCTCCACGCCATACTACTCGCCCAAACCAGCCCACTACTGACAGGACTATTTACCCACGGTGGAAATTCGCAGCAATTCGCAGCAGCAAAATGAGTTTATCATGTAAAAGCCGGCACCGACCGAATCTGGGTACCGGGCTACACGTTACTACGGGAATTACTGCTACAGGAGGCACACGACGGAGTTACCTCAGGGCATTTCGGAGTAGAAAAAACATGACAGCAGCTGCAGCGGTACTATTTCTGGCCCGAAATGCTGACCGACGTGCAGTGACACGTGGCATCGTGTCCCACCTGCCAACTCATGAAATCATCACGGAAACGGCCGGCTGGACAGTTGCAGCCGATACCACCCCCAGAGCGTGCTTGGCAGCAGGTGACGATGGACTTCGTCACGGGGTTACCGGCCGGAGCAAATGGGAACGACGCGATCCTGGTCGTCGTCGATCGGCTGACGAAAATGGCACATTTCGCAGCCTGCAAAAAATCAATCGCAGCTGAAGAAACAGCCCGCCTCTTCATCTCAACCGTCGTTCGACTACACGGGATACCAACAGCAGTCATCAGCGACCGCGATACGAAATTCACCAGCAACTTCTGGTGGCAGCAGTTCAGCACGCGACTGCAATTTAGTTCTTCCTACCACCCCGAAACCGATGGACAGACGGAACGGACAAACCAGACCATGGAACAACTCATCCGAGCCACGTGCGACGACCCGACCACCTGGGAACAGCAGTTGCCACTCATCGAATTCGCGTACAACAACTCGCCATCCGCCACGACCCAACAATCACCATTTTACCTGAACTACGGACAAGACCCTACAGTACCCATGACCCCGAATCCCGACAACCCAGTACCACGTGCGCAACAGTTCGCCGAAATATTACAAGCAGCACGAACCAAGGCAGCCGATGCAATAAAAAAGGCCAACGTCATCGCTAAGTGCAACGCCGACCGCCACCGCAGACCTGTCACTTACCAGCCCGACGACCTAATTTTACTCGACACTCAAAACCTCCGCCTGCCCATAACCCCGAAACTCCGCCCTCGATATTGCGGGCCATTCCGCATCAGCCACATGGTCACACCTGTCACCGCCCACCTCCTCCTCCCTGCTGACTGGTACGTCAGCCCGTCCTTCCACGTCAGCCTGCTTCGCCCTTATGTCCCATCCACCAGCCAACTGCCCCGCAACCGCCCAGCCAGCATGACACGACCGCCGACAGAACCAGTCATCACGCCCGAGAAGATTCTAAGCCACTGAGTTCGTGACCCACGGGGAGCTCGAAGGGTCGAATTTCTGATCCGCTGGAAAGACCGCACGCCCACCGAGGACAATTGGGTTCCCCTGGACAGAGTTGAAAACCACCCCGTCCTCACCGAGTATCTGCGCAGCCGGAATTTCAGGGATGTACACGCGCTTTCGTAAAGAAAGGCCTCCTTAAGGGGGGGGTGGGTAGTGTAAGGAAAATTCCTTTTCCTTACTTCGCGTCCCTACTCAACGCGTACGCCACTGTTCCTGCCAGCAGCACCCCACAATAATCCGTTACCACTCACGACATTCGCCTCGACACCATACCCGCCACTGTTCACGATGCGACCCAACCTCACGGTTCGGTTGGTAACCCGCGCTCCGGACCTCTGCCTCGACAATCCCCAACCTCGGCGCCAGGCCCGTCGCGCACCTCAATTTCCACGCGTTACCGTTACCACTGTAGCTTCGCTATATATCCTTACGCTCAATCCTTCGCTCATTGTATTCTTGTCTCGATAGTGCAATCCTCGCTCGCTCACTCAATTGCACTCGTAACACCCTGCTTAAATCTACTTGAAGCCTTCTGTCTGCACCAGCAAATGCATTTTTTGCTCAAACTCGGCATCAGCTTGGCACCCTCGCTTCAACCGAGTGTTCTTCAAATAGACAATGCGCATTACAAAACTAGGGGCTTACTGGTTGGGTGTTGGCACTAGGCTAAACTTTTTTGCCGCATTGGAGAGCTCCAAGACTGCACTTGAATAGGCACCACAGATGACTCCAACCAAAGCAGCCTAGATTACACCCAAAGGACTCCCTTTTCCGCAATGTCACGCACTGCTACATTAGAGTACCAGTCTCCTCAAAGAGTTCTTCCAGCTCACAAAAAGATCCCACTGTCAGCCCTGTCCTCTTCTCCACACTGCACACCACCTCCTCCGCCTCGCCTTCCAGCTCGATAAAATCCTTCCAGATGGATACGTCGCCCTGGCGGATGCCTTCTGCTGCTGCTGCAAGGGCCGCTGCTGCAGGAGAATCAACATCAGGAGTGCCAGTCACAGCAGTCGCAGCAGATACCCCAGGAGCAGCAGCTGCTGCAGAAACTATCTCAGGAGGTAGCTCTGTTGCTGCACCTCCCCCCACACATCCATACTGTGTCTCTGCGTTTCCTCCACTGAAACGGCTGTCCTGCCTTGCGCTAGTGCATGCAGGCTCCAACGTTTTCTGCCCGTCGCTGCTCTCGCCTCCCTGATGATCATCCCTGCCGGGCAGACCGGAAAAAAAGGAGCGGGCGAATTCCAGAGCAGCAAGGGGCAGAACGCCGTGGCTCGTCCGAGGCATCTTGTGCAGCCTCATGGCTTGCAGCTGCTGTGATTCCACCGCCCCAGCGGTGCACTGGAAGACGTGTTGGAACGAGGGTTGGGAGGAGGTCTGGGAGGAAGGCGGGGAGCAGTCGACAGAAGCAGAGGAAGCAGCGTTGCTTGGGGAGGCACTGCGGGAAGGGTAGCGCTGAGACAGGTGGTTCTGAGACGGGTTGTGCTGAGACGGTTTTTGGTGAGATGGGTCCGAGAGAGTGGGAGGTGCTTTGACCGGCGGAGTATGGAGGGCTGACTGGAGCGCGAAGAGTGAGGGGAAGGTGGGGAGAGAGTGTGGTGGGCCGCGGTTGATGACGGTGGAAGGGGCTGATGGGACGAGTGGCGCCGCTGCTGTTTCGGGAGATGTGGGTGTGAAGGGAGCAGCAGACTGGCAGTGAGAGGAGGGAGAGGGTATGGAGGAGGGAGGGGCCGTGAGAGGGTTATTTGAAGTAATAAGGGGAGCGGTGGGGGGAGAGGCAGGGGGAGTGGTGGGAGGAGGGACGGTCGAAGATGGCAAAGGGGTGTTGGGAAGAGCGGGATGCAGAACGCGGGAGCTTTGAGTGAGACCAAAGGTGAAAGGCGTGATGCTGAGAGAGGTTGAACACCATTGGGACGCGGATGAGAGAGGGCGTGCTAGGTAGGGCCGAGAGGTGGTCACGTGTATGGGCAAGAGGGAATGTGCGAGGGAGGGTGAACAAGAGGGTGAGATGGAGGATGCAAAGGAGGGTGTGATGGAGGGTGATAGGGAGGTTGCAAAGGAGAGGGGCCAGTCAAGGGCAGGGAGAGAGCCTAACGTGGGCGTGCTGCTGCACTGGGCGGCAGGGAAGAGTGAGGGACCGTGCAAGGACTGGAAAGACTGAGTTGACTTGAAATTGATTGGATCCTGTGTGAACAGTGATGGCTGCTGCTTCTGTTGCTGCTCATGCTGCTCTTGATGCTGCTGGTGCAGCTTTTGCTGTTGATTTTGCTGCAAAAGAAGGGCCAGGAGCCAGGATGTGGGGATCGTCGGCCTGAACGGAGCAGAGCATGGGGCGATACATGCATGAGAACCAGAGTTATCACCAGGATTTTACGTCCCAAAAAAAAATGCAAACGGAGGTTCACTCAATCCGAAGACGTTGCAAAAGCAGTGTATTAGTCAGGGATTCGCATGCATTGCGAACGTGCGAGCGAAGCACAGCAAGTGTCGCATGTAGCCGAATAGTGCAGGAGTAATGCGCGAGTGCACTCATCACTCATCGCCTCACCTGCTATCACACTGATGATGGTGGCTTTGGCTGTCGGCGGGCCGCAGAAGCAGCGAGCGCACAGCCGAGGCATCAATGGCTTCAATGTCCTCACGCTGCCTGGCCGACAGGCCTTCACGCATGCCGGCGGTGTGAGCGGCGCCGGTGCTGACTCCCGTGTCGTCATTGCGAAGCCTCTTCAACCCCCGATCCATGGGGTGTGAATCCGTGGCATGTGAGTTGGGAAAGAGAATGCGAGCCAACTGGTGAGCTGTCAACGATGCCGCCGTGGTGCTCTGTTGTGGTGCTGTCGCCGCTGCTCCTGCTGCTGCTGCTACTGCATGCCCTCTCCCAGCAGCAGTAGTGACAGCAGCAGGCGGTGGATTGAATTCAGGTGTTTGCTCAGGTGAAACATCAGATGGTGTTGGGGTGTGTAGGAGACCAGGTGGGAGGAACAGCTGCATGCACTCGACCAATGACAGCCCGCCATATTGCTTCGCCATGTCAGGACGGCTCCACATGTTCCGCTGTGGTTGGCCAGCGGACGGGGAAACGGCCTGGCCTTGTTGCGACTGTTGCTGAACTGGCAGTGTGACGTCAGCATGCTTCTGAGTAAACTTCCTGAAAACACAGAGCATGTGAGGAAAAGACAGACATGAGTAAGCTGCGTCAAGGCAGAACCAGTGGATTCTAGATATTACCACGTCAAATGACATGGTGTGACATGACATAGTGTGACATGAAGACAAACAGCCTAGCGTTTCCCGCTCACTTTATGAGGAAGAGGAAGCGGTTGCACCACATAATGATAATAACACGACTTGGCACCTCCGGCTCACTTATTGAGCAAGAGGAAGCGGTCAGCATGGGGCTCACTTTTTGAGGAAGAGGAAGCGGTTGCAGCACGCCTTGTTGCCGCGCGCGAGCTGCTTGCCTCGCACCAGCCGCCCCCACTGCCGCGTGCCGTGCCTCAGCGCGTGCCGCAGCAGCACCGCGTCCTCCTGCGAGAATGACGCAATAAGGGTAAGGACGGGGGGTCGGAGGGTAAGCGACAGAGGACGATTGAGGGTGAGCGACGCGGGCAAGCGACAGAGCGCGATCGAAAGTGAGCGACGCGAGCAAGCTTTAGAGGGAGATCGAGGGTGAGCGACAGAGGCAGAGGAAACGGCCATGACCAGGCGGCATTGCGCCTTGAGATTGCGAAAATGCTGCAGGCGTCACAAAATTCCTGGCCCCCCAAAACATACCTTCAAACGTTGCATGCTTTCTTCAATGTTCAGTGTGGTGTGTTTTGTGCATTGCCCCATCTTACAGCCGGACTGCTGCATTTGCGAAGCAGGTAGACGGTAGAAGCAGAACTACTACGGAAGGGGGACGGCCCTGAACCGTGACGTTGACCTAGTAGCACTAACGTACGTAATAGATGAAAGATCGTATCGTCATAACGCATGAATTCGAAACGTAGGCCGTACCTCCGTCGTCCATGGCTGCGAGGACGGCGCGAATCGCAGAATGGGAGGCGAATCCGCCACGGGGGAAGGCTGCGAGCCTCCATGTCGCGACTCCGCTATCTGGGTCGCCATGGCTGCTGGAAGTAGTTGAAGCTTTTCGGAGAATCAGTGGCACCTGTGGTGTCAGAAGCGGCGCGAGTTGGGGATCTGTGTCAATCCCGATGCTCACTTCGGATCACTACGGCTCACTATGGCTTGCGTTCAGCGAGAGAATTGGCGTTTTTTGGAGAGAAGGGAAGGCACCACGCTCAAGAGGTGTTCGATCGCGCCGCGAGAGTGCTCTACTTCAGCCCGTTGCGGCCTCTTGCTAGAAATCCAACGAATGCATGTTGAGAATGGGAGGAAAGAGAACCTTTGAGCATGTGGAAGTAATGTGGGAAATACCGCGGCGATGAGTACAGACTAAATAGTAGACAGGTCCATCGTCGTCGGTGTGCAACGGTCTCCGCGAGCCTTGTGTTGCACCCTTCGCGTCCATCGTCGACGGTGTGCAATCGGGGGGTGGAATGCGACCACGCATTCCAGCATTCCACCCACCCCCCGATTGACGAATGGGGGAGGTTAGCTTTGCGGTGGAATCCCGAGTGGGTGACAGAAACTGCGAGCGTGGGCCATGGCGGTCGAGCGAGCGGTCGGGGTCGGGGCGACGACGACCGCGGGGAAGAGGAAAGGGTGCTCGCGAAAAGCTTTCGCGATTCCCCTCCACCCCACACGCATGGGGGAGATGCGCGCAACTACACCACCTTCCGGATCCTTCCATATCGCACGTCTGCTGTCCGCAGCAGCGCAGACTCTAAATAAAATCAGTGCATTTACGAGGACAAACTACAGAACACGTTCTGGCCAGGCTGGAGCTCCTATGGCTTTATTTGGAGCCGTTCCAACGACCATGTTGGGGTCCGCGGCGGGATCGCGATTCAGATCGCGATTGAGCTTCCGAAGCAAGTCTGACGCAATTACCCAGCCTGGGAATTGAAGCCAATGATTTGCCTCCGCAGTTGTTGCCATTGGACGGGCCGATGGCTTTATTTGGCTGGTGTTTGTCATCATGCTGTCGCGGCGATATTCAAGGAGGGCGACGCAGCTGCGTATAAAATAATCGCCAGCTTCCTGATGCGCGCGTGCGAGCGCCTGTGCGCAGGTGCAAGGCTTTTATGAAGGGCACTGACGTTTGCAAGGGTGGGATAAGCGGTGGAGGAGCTAATCTGATTGTGCAGCACATGACATGCCACCAGTTCGTGTGGGGTGAATGTGAAGGGATCTGGTGAGAGGTAAGGACGCGTCACAAATGCGACATTGATCCTGCGGGAGTTCGATATTCCGAGTATACAGTAATTCGCTGTGTCTTGTATCCCGTTTTCGTTAAAGTTCGTTAAGACCCGACACACGTCACCGAACGCGATGTCCCTACCAGATCGATCTGTCACCGTACTCAATTCATACGTAATACATTTAAAACTTTAAAACAAAGCTTCTAACCCCGCTAACTATCGAACCTGAAGACGATTGCGACCATCGGGCTCAGAGGAGATCGTTTCTCACAGCTTCGGTGTGTGACCACGATCCTCCTCGATGTCGCAATTGTGACGCGTCCTAAGAGGAGGACCAGACCTAAAGACTCGGTGGGAAGCGTTGTCAAGTCAATAAGGATGGTAGCGGGAGGAGCAACCTCAACCCCAGGTCCACTCGGGCCCCAGGGTGATTTATGTACGCTCAGGAAGAGCAAACGATCTTGCAAGAACCGTGCAAGTTCAGTGTCCGCTTTGACACACCCTAAGAAAAACACTTATGGTGTGTGAAGGTGGCATGGCTGGCGGGGAGGCAGTGGGCCAGTGGCGGAACAACTGCGTCGCTGAACAGTGTGGAAATCATTGTGGCTGGATTCTTTCCTGTGAAACAGACATCGGGTGCGAGAAAGCTACCCACCCAGGTGTGACATGTGGATGCCATCCAAGTGAAAAATGTACATGTGCACAACCGATGTTGTTCCTCTGACCTTGTTACAACAGAATCCGCACCGTGCCACTTTGTCACGTTTTTGCCCGTGGCGACGAGGGCGAAGGCAGGCGAAACGCCGTTCCATCGTTCAGTCTATTATTCAGTCTAGTGATACACAGGTACTTTGCGTAACTGTTATGAGAAACTTTTGTAACTTCCAAATGTTTGAGTTTTCTCAAAACCTGTTACGTGGTGTACATTTATGGTTAAAAACAAATAATCCTTCTTTAAGTTTGTGCTCGCTTCCCATGTGCGAAGCATTTGAACATGGGTTTTAGATCGCAGGAAGTCTTTACACCAGGAGATATCAATATACACGCCATTGGTAACCTGGCTCTTCACTCTCCTAATCAGAAGAATGGATACACATTGGCACTGAAATATGCCAACAAGCCTAGATAATGCTCAGCGTAACTCCCTTGCATGCGATGTCATACTCGCCTACAGTAGTTTACTGTTCTCCTCAAATAGATCCTCCAGCTCACAGAATGAGCCCACCGCCAGCCCCGCTCTCTTCTCTGTGCCGCACACCACCCCCTCTGCCCCTTCCAGCTCAATCAGATCATTCCAAATCGAAAGCTCTCCCTGACATATGCCTTCTGCAGCTGCAGCAAGAGCCGCTGCTGCAGGAGATTCGGTCGCATCTCGAGTGCCAGTCACATCAGGAGCAGCAGGTACACCAGGAGCAGCAGCAGCAGCTGTAACCATCTCAGAAAGTGAAGGTTGGGAAACCATCTGAGGCAGCTCTGTTGATGCACCCCCGCCCACACATCCACACTCTGTCTCTGTGCTTCCTCCACATTCTCTCCCCACACTAGTCAGGTTTTCGTTTGCACTAGTCACGCCTGCCTTTGTGCTAAGCAGGCACTCCCTCGCACCAGCGCACGTGCGCTCTAACATTTGGTGCCCGTCACTGCTCTCGCATCTCTGGGGATCATCCCTGCCAGGCAGCCCAGAAAAAAAAGAACGGGCAAATTCCAGAGCAGCAGGGGGCAACACACCTCGGCTTGTCCGAGGCATCTTGTGCGGCCTCGTGTGTGCCAATGATTCCACGCCAGGGATGGGCACCACAGTGAGGTGGGAGGAGAGATGGGATGCGGCTTTAGACGAAGGTTGGGAGGAGGGTTGGAAGTCGTGTTGCGTGAAGGCTTGTGAGGAGGTCTGTGAGGAGGGCGGGGAGCAGTCGACAGAAGCGGAGGAAGCAGCGTTGCTTGGTGAGGCACTGCGGGAAGGGTAGCGCTGTGAAAAGTGGTGCTGAGAAGCGTAGTGCTGAGATAGGTCCGAAAGTGTGGCAGGTGCTTTAGGTGGCGGATTGTGGAGAGCAGACTGGAGTGCGGAGAGCGAGGGGAAGGAGGGGATAGAGTGCGGTGGGCCAGGGCTGATGACGGTGGAAGGGTCTGATGGCGTCAGTAGTGTTGAAGGTGTTATGAGAGAAGTGGGTGTGAAGGGAGCAGCAGACAAGCAGTTAGAGGAACGAGAGGGCATTGAGGAGGGAGGGGACGCGAGCGGGTTGTGAGGAGGAGCCGTGAAGTAGCCGATAGGGGGAGTGTTAGGAGGAGGGACGGTTGAGCGGACGGATGGCGGAAGGGTGTTAGGAGGGGCGGAGTGCAGAACGCGGGAGCTTTGAGTGAGACCAAAGGTGAACGGCGTGCGAGTGGTTGACCGCCATTGGGTTGCAGATGGGAGAGTTTCAGCTAGGTAGGACCGAGAGGTGGTTGCGAGGGTGGGTGAGATGGAGGGTGCGAGGGAGGATGCCAAGGAGGATGAGAGGGAGGTTGAAAAGGAGAGAGGCCAGTCGAGAGCAGGGAGAGAGCCTGAGGTGGGTGTGCCGATGCTGCTGCAGTGGGCGGAAGATGGGAATGAGGGACCGCGCAGGGACTGGTAAGATTGGGCTGCCTTGGAACTGACTGGATCCAGCATGAACAGAGATGGCAGCTGTTCTTGCTGCTGCTCCTGTTGTTCTTGACGCTGGTGCAGCTGCTGCTGTTGTTTTTGCTGCAGAAGAGCGGCCAAAAGCCAGGATGTTGGGATTGTCGACCTGAGCCGAGAAGAGCAGAGGAGAACCAACGGGGAAGAACGCATGAGAACCAGAGCGACCACCAGGATTCAATCAATCCGAAAATGCTGCATTGCGCAAGCACAGAACCCTCAAGACCAACAGTCATAGCCTCACCTGCTCTCGCACTGTTGCGAGAAGGTCTGGCTATCAGCGGCGCGCAGAAGCAGCGAGCGCACCGCCGAGGCATCGACAGCCCCAATGTCCGGAAGCTGCCTGGCCGACAGCCCTTCACACGTGCCGTTGTGAGCGGCGCCGGCGCCGGTGCTGAATCCCGAGTCGTCGTCATTGCGAAGCCTCTTCATCCCCCGATCCACGAGGTGTGCCGGGTTTGAATCCACAGTGCGAGAATCCGTGGCATGTGAGTTAGGAAGGAAAATGTGGGCCAATTGGTGAGCTGCCACCGATGCCATGCTCTGCTGTGCTGCTCCTTCTGCTACTGCTGCAGGCCCTCTCTCAGCAGCAGTAGCAACAGCAGCAGGTGCATGTTCAGGTGAAACATCAGATGGGACCAAGGTGTCTCGGAGACCAGGTGGGAGGAACAGCTGCATGCACTCGACCAATGACAGCCCGCCATATTGCTTCGCCATGTCAGGACGGCTCCACATGTGCCGCTGTGGCTGTCTGGAAGACGGGGAGACGGCCGAGCCTTGCTGGAACAGTTGCTGAGCTGGGTGCGTGACGTCAGCGTGCTTCTGGGTAAACTTCCTGCAGACACGGAGAATACGAGGGAGGGTTGTGGGTTGAATCAGGCCGTGTGTGACGCAGGAAGCAGATCGCACGAATGCGCATCAAATGACTTGGTGTGACATGAAATGACATGACATGACATAACAGTGAGCCTGGCGGATGCCGCTCACTATTTGAGGAAGAGGAAGCAATTGCACCGCATCACGATAAAACACGACTTTGCACCTGCGGCTCACTTTTTGAGGAAGAGGAAGCGGTTGCAGCAAATGGCATTGTGGCTTGCATGCATGCAGGGCTCACTTTCTGAGGAAGAGGAAGCGGTTGCAGCACGCCTTGTTGCCGCGCGCGAGCTGCCTGCCTCGCACCAGCCGCCCCCACTGCCGCGTGCCGTGCCTCAGCGCGTGTCGCAGCAGCACCGCGTCCTCCTGAAGGCGGAGGGGGCAATGGGGGACAGGGATAAGTGACAGAGGGTAAGCGATCTAGCATAAGCGTGCCGTGCCTCAGCGCGTGCCGCAGCAGCACCGCGTCCTCCTGGCGGGCCGCGAGGGGAGGGGGCAATGGGGGACAAGCGATAGAGATAAGCGTTTAGAAAAAAGGAAGAAGTGACAGAGGGTAGTAAGCGATCTAGAATAAGAGGGTGAACGTCAGAGGGTGAGTGACATGGGAGAGGTACAGAGGTGTTATGCGAGACGTGAGGGGATAAGGGTTGACTGGGGTAAGCAAACCGAGGCAAAAAATACGACCGCAGCAGGCTGCATTGTGCTTGATAGGAATGCCATATGGGGTGGCATTTGTGGAGCACCTCAAAGCGGCGACGGCGATGCGCGTGCGTACGACATAGCAAGTAATATTAAGGAGTCCGTACCTCCGTCGTCCATGGTTGCGAGGAAGGCGCGAATCGCAGGATAGGAGGCGAATCCGCTACGGGGAGAGCCTGCGAGCCTCCATTTCGCAACTCCGCTTTCTGATCCAGCTGGGTTGTCATCGCTGCGGAAAAATAAACTTCGCTGAGGTTTTTCGAAAGTGGAGGAAACGCCTCGCTATCAACGCGATTCGGATTCGGAGGTGGTGGAGGGAAGGGAGTCGTATCACGCTCGAGGGATGTGCGATCGCGAGAGCGGCCACGTGCGGGTGAACGAGGTGAGGTGGGAAAGGAGGATATCGATGCAGGAAGCTGGAGCTTTGATATGGAGAGTACCAATAAATACAAGACAGCTTCTTGTGGGAGCGGCGGGAGATCGAGCTCACTACGCACTTGGAAACCCTACGACCAGCGACTGGGGGAGTGGGCGACGGAATACCGCGTGAGGGCGGCGACAGAGGCGGCGGGCGAGGATAGGTCTTCCTGATGTTGCGGTCGAGAGTTTCCAGCTCGAGGACCTGGGGAGCAGAAGATGCTCAGGAAAAAGCCAACGCGCGAGGCATGGTGGGCAGAGTGAGGCGCTCGCTACCATCTTCCGCATGTTTCCGTATTGCACGTCTCCGCCGTCCGCACCCCCCCATACGCTGTTATAGACTGGCGTAGCTCCACTACAAATTATGACACGGTTTTGTACAGCCTGGAAACCCCATGGCACTATTTGGACCTGCTCGAACTGCCATGTTGGGTTCCGTGGCGGAATCGCGATGCCGATCGCGATTGAAAAGAAGTTCCGAAACGAAATCCAACGATCCGGCCTAGGGATGGGATGTGTAATGATTTGCGCATTGTGTGGTGCCCAATTGCTGACATCTACGGACAGAAACGGCCTTTTTGGGCTGTCCCTTGACATGATGCTGTGGCGGCGAAAATTGGAGGTGACACACCAAGCGTAAAATCATCTCCAGCTTCCTCAAGCGTGCTTGCTTGGGTGTATTTTTGCTAAGGCCAACTCATCACCGTCCATGCACACGCTGAGCAAGGCTGGGTGGAAGAGCTGGCGGAGTCATTTAGACCGCATATTTAACCAGCGACTGTGGTAATGTGCAGCAGGCACACAAAACTGAAGAGACCGTGGGAAGCGTTGTCGATGGTGCTGGGAGTAGCCTCCTAGCCACACTCAATACAGTTGAGAGGCGTCGTAGGGGACTCCCACTAAGAATAACAGCACCATAATTCATCGGAGGGTCCCACATGGCCTCGTTGAATGCACTTCGACAGCAGACCCTAAGCAAAACGCTCAACAAAGTGAGGCAAAAATGCCTGCGCCGAGGGACAATGACTGACGGACTGGATTGTGCAAGAGTTGGGAGCTCGGATACCACTTGCTGGTTACTGGATTTGCATGCAATGCAAGGCTGGAGGTCAGGCAAGAGCTGGTGTCGGGGGGTGTTTTTGGCGGCCAGTGTCACTACAGTACACTTCACAACTCATCACTACCCTGAGTGTTAACTTGAGGACTGTTGAGGTTGCTCCTCTCGCACTCCACCGGGCTTGGGGGGCAAGCTTCTGCAGAAAGCTTGAGAGCGTGGAACACCTGCTAGGGTTTTAGCGACGATCCTACGAAACAGTTGACGATCTTACACAACCGTGTCCGATCTTACACAACAGTGTACGAGAAAATATGCTACAAGTAACCAACTTGGGACTCGATAACGTGAATGGTTAAAAAAAAAAAGCGTACGGTATCGGGTTTTCTGACGGGTTTGGTAAGCGGGGTCACAGATTCAGTCACTAACAACAGGTAAAAAATCACGCGAATGGTCACACATGTAACTCCCGCCAAAAAAACTTGAAACTCAACAAAATTCCCGCTCGCGCCCAACCAATCTGCGAACATGCAAAAAAACTAAAACCCAATCGGAATCGGATGCGGTTTGGGAACGGATCAACCCTAAACACCTGGCGAGTTACGTGTTTAGGGTTGATCATCCGAAAATGAATCCAGGTTCTTTCTGGGTTTCATTTTGTTTTGGCGGGAGTTTCATCTGTGACCATTCGCGTTTTTTTTACAAGCTGATTGTGACTGATTCCGTGAAACGCTTTATCAGTCGCGTGAAAACACCCTTTGCAGTGACCGTACCCTTTATTTCTTTACCAAAAATGTTTTTTGAGTCCCATGATGGTTACAAACGACATATTCTCCCACAGTGTACCACACAGTGACAATTGTAATCAGTGATAGCCAATCGAAATCATCAAAACCATGACTATACAAAAGTAGTAGGACACTGTTCTGTAGGATTGCCAACTGTGCTTAAGATTGCCAGCTGTTTCGTAGGATCGTCGCTAAAACCCTAGAAGGTGTACCACGCTCTGAGGGCTTGTTTTCACGAGTTTCTGTGTTGCATCGAATGCACGATGAGTGCTTCCATCGCTACCTGTGCTCCTCTTTCGTAACCCTATGCAAGAATGTCTAGAACGCAGAATGTTATTCAATGAGGCAATCGAATCTAGAATCTGAACTGGATGCTCTCACGTGCTGGTATTATCTCGCCCTGATGATCCAATCAACACTAGCTGGACTTCCTGTGAACCTTCTGCGTGACATTTGAGCCATTCCCGCCCGGAAAAGTCGTCAAGTCCCAAACATTGGAGAGGCAATTACAACTCTACAATTACAATTCCACGGTCCATTCTTCAATTCATACATAACTTACATAAAGAATTGATCTCATATCTAAGTCTCAACCTCCCTCTCATATCATGTGTTACGGGTGCAATGAATCGAGGTAGCGAGGATTGCACTATGTTGTCAAACGAGTACAAAGTATGAGCGAAGGCATGAGCGAATACTTATAGGCGAAACATGCAAACGGTAACGCGGTGTGTGCGAGCTAGCTAGTGCCACGCTGGCGCGAGTTTCGGGCTAGTCCCGAAGCGTAGGCCGACTCTGTCAAACTTATATGTTGCATGTTGTGTAGGCTGTAGTGGGGTAGCCCATATGGGGTACAACCCAAATTAGGGTTAGTACTTGTACCCATCATGCTCCTAGTTTATTCATCCTTGTTTTCACATTCTGACATGGTATCAGAGCAGTAGGTCCGTAGGACCGTTTTTTTTCGGGCCCACCATTACCTAGTGACCGACTGCGGTTACCGCGTTACCCCACGCCCTGCCGTGCGCTGCGCCGTCAGCGCGCGCCCTGCCCTGTCTTGCGTCGCGCTGCACCGTGCACGCCCTGCCCTGCCCCGCGTCGCGCTGCCCCGCGTACGCCCTACCCTGCCCCGCGTCGCACTGCCCCGCGCACGCCCTGCCCTGCCCCACGTTGCGCTGCCCCGCGCACGCCCTGCCCTGCCCAGCGTCGCGCTGCCCTGTGTCAGACATATATGATATAGCCTGTGTAGGCTGTAGTGGGGTAGACAATAGGGATATAGCTTTTCTAGGGTTTCATACTTGTACCTTCCTCATTCCTAGTCAATTCATCCCTCGTACTTTCTTCACACCCTGCGCATGTCCTGCCCTGCCCCACGTCGCGCTGCCCCGCGCACGCCCTGCCCTACCTCGCGTCGCGCTCCCCTGCAGCCCGTCGCGTCGCGCGCCCCTGCTGCCCGTCGCGTCGCGCGCCCCTGCTGCCCGCCGCGCCGTGCGCCCCTGCAGCCCGTCCCGTTGCGCGCCCCTGCAGCCCGTCGCGTCGCGCGCCCCTGCAGCCCGTCGCGTCGCCCGTCGGCCCTGCCCATGCCCGTCGCGTTGCCAGAGCGGGTTGCCCCAGCCCGCCGCGACGCCCATCCGCCTTGCCTGCCTGCGCGCCGCCCCTGCCCGCCCTGCGTCGCGCCGCCCCGTGCAAGCCGCCTGCGCGCAGACCCTTGCAGCACGCGCTTCGCCTGTCTGCAGCCCGCGAGCCTCCCCTGCAGCCCGCGAACCGCCCCTGCGGCCAGCGCGCCTGCCTCTTGCAGCCAGCGCACTGCCCCTGCAACCTGCGAGCCACCCCTGCAGCCCGCGAGCCGCCTCTGCAGCGCCCAGCGCGCCCTGCCAAACCCTAAAATAAATAAATAATTATATATATATAAGAGCTGTCAGAAACAAGAAGTGATTGAACTAGAAACATTGGTGGTACAAGTAGGAAACCCTAGAGTAGTGTACCCCCTAAAGGCTAACCCACTGTAGCCTACACAGCAATAACATATATAATGTTTGACACACTCCCATAGGCTAAGTGGGGTAGAGCAAGGGGTCACAAGACCAGTCAAGAAAGAGAACGCAAGCCCAGGGTGGATCACAAAGTCACCACACACACTGAGCACAAGCAAAGAGCCACAAGGCCAGCTCACATGCAGAGGCATATATGCAACACAAACATCACAGTGATCTCTACCTAGCAATGCAAGCACGTAGGTATATGTATATAGATCACAGTACAGGCAAAGTCTACAGCAGGTCAAAAAGTGAAACATCGTCCTTGGCAGTGATCTGGAGGAACAGGTGCAGGTCATCGAGCCAAACGTCAAACTTAATCGGACGGCCCTCAGAGTCAAACGTGAGAACGGTAGGACTAGCCATAGTGGCAGTAGCAGTAGCAGCAGTAGTAGTAGCAGTAGTAGCAGTAACAGTAGTAGAAGTGACAGAAGCAGTAGTAGTAGCTGTAGGAGCAGTAAGAGCAGTTGCTGCAGGT